ACAGCACAGAGATGTCTGCCATGTTGCAGCACATTGCTAACATGATGACCCCTGATCCTACTACCTGATTCCACCACTCTCTCTCTTACTTATTATCTATCATTGATATTTGCACTGTTATGATTCAGATATTTTCACACTATCTTGATACTTGCACTGGTTTTGGATATTTTTTTGGGATATTTTCTTTGGATATTATTGCATTGATTTATCGATATCTGATCTTGCATTTATTTTCTATATACAAATTTTTGGATCTTTGATATCAGTTTTGGATATTCTGAGCTTTAAGGCCATGTTTTTTGCCCAGTTCTCAGTTTCACCTTTCATTTATATCATTGATACATCTGCTTTGACAGTTGTTAGTGTGACCATTTTCAGACAGGTTTTCGGAATCTAAGTTTGGGGGTATGCCTTCCAAAGCTAAGCTTCCGTTGCCGAGTCCCTTTTGCCTCACCCATTTAGTATAGTCTTTCCATTATCTATTGCTTCTTTGCACATTGAGGACAATGCACAGATTAAGTTTAGGGGTGTGTTAGCATATTTTACATGTCGCACTCATTTTCTATCCATGTGATATGATTTAAGAGTCTTGGGCTATGATTTTGATCTTTTGAGGACTATGATACTTAGAATTTAAAAATTGCTTGACTTGATAGTCCAATACTCCTTGTATGCCTTGTGGATGCCATTTAGGAGTAAATTTTTCGAAAAATTGATATCTTGCTTGCATTTGTGGCCCACATCATCTTGATTTTGTGATTGTTTTGAGATTCACTCTAAGATTCTACACTAGCACAGGCGTACACTAGCATTCATTTGTGGGGTACATGCTTTGTTGATTATTGATTTGGTTATATCTCAATTAAGCTAGTAGTGTATTGAAAGCTTTCATCTTGACAAAAGTGGATAACAATCCCTTTTCATTGAGTAGCCGGGATTCTAGCCTCATCAAGCATTGAATTTCTCGCGCCGAAAGGTGGAGGGCCCAAACTCTAGGTTAATAATTGAACTTGTGATTTCTTAAAAAAAAAATAAAAAAAATAAATAAATAATAATAAAAAAAAATGTGAGGACTTCTCTCAAAAGGTGAGAAGTGAGAAATGATTAAATGGAGGTAGTTTTGATTTATAGCCTAGTCGATTTGAGCTTGTAAGTCCTTAGGGGTATTTAAACACCTAATGCCTAAAGCCATCCGGTTTGGGAGTCATTGACCTAACGCTCGACCTCATGGATCGCTAGAAAGCTTAATAGATCACTACATTGCACCATGCTTCCATCTTTGATCCTCTAGGTTAGTTAAAAAAAAAAAAATCGAGTAAAAAGAATAAGTGCACCTAGATGAATAAAGTTTTAATAAAAGGTCCATTCTTTGCCTTAATGATCGGTACTATATTTGTGTGCTAGTTTGAAGGTAAGGATGTGATTATTTCTTTAGTTGGCTTAGATAGCAACATATTTGCTGTCGATTCACTTAAAAAGGATTCTAGAGTTGTTTTGATTTGCATGATCATTGTCTTGATGTGTGGAGGACCATATTTGTTTGCTTGATGTGTGGAGGATCATATTTGTCTGCTTGATGTTGAGATTTTGGGAGATTGCTTGGAAATGGTTGAAAAATTGCATACTTGGGTAGTTTTCTCCCAATGCTTGTTTTGTATATTGGTGCCTCTTTAGTGAGAAAGAGCTCAATGTTTATGGGTAGCATTTCTATAAACCCTCACGAGACTTCCCTCGTCCACTAGGGTAACCTAGGAGTTTAAAAGGCTTGTTGCATACATTAAATGTAATCGTGTTCCCTACGAAAGTGGCATTATTCTTTTATTGCTTTCTAGTTCATAGTTGTATAATTATTTATTTCTTTCCTTTCCTTGTAGTTTATTGCTAGGGACTAATAATATCTAAGTTTGGGAGTGTGATGAGTGCTCAAATGTGATGCATTTTAGCACCTAAGCTAGGGTATTTTAGTCCATTCATCTATCTTACTTTCATGTCTTAGATACTTATTTGTGTTATTGCCTATTTCAGGTTAATAATGTTTAAACAGGCTAACAAGAGCCATTTAGCCCAATTTTGGAACTAAGGAGCAAAGTTGGAAAGAAACCAAGAAAATGCACCAGATGAGCTTCGATCGATCGAAGGGAGTCCCTATCAATCGAAGAGTTCTACAATCGATCGAAATAAGGCGGTGCCAGCTTAGCAAAGTGGATAAGGCCAGAAGATATTTTTGATGCCACGTCAGCTTCGATCGATTGAAGCTAAATGTTTGATCGATCGAGATTCTTCGATCGATCGAAGTGCCTGCTGGCAGTGAGCTGTCTAATTCCCGAGCGCCGATTTCTACTAACTTGAATAGTTGCGAATTTCCTCAAATCATAGGTTGTATTTCTAACTTGGTGCCTACTCAAAGGGCAATGTAATGAATTAATAGAACATCTTTTCAATTTTATCTTGTAATATTCATAGAGTAGATATTTTTTTCTCTAGAACTAGGGTTTTGGGAAGAAAGCAAGGATGAAGATGATGATGCCAACCTCCACTACAATGAATGGCTAAATCCTTCACTTGGAGCTAGAGATAGCCCTTAGGCTTGCTTCCTAAACCTAGCTTTTTTATATTTTTAGGGATTTTAGTTGTAATGGATGTTTTGATCATGAATAAATATAGATCTTGTTATTTCTACTTGATTTGTATGGATTAATGCTTTCAATTGATCATTTATTTCTATCCATATGTCTATGTATGCTAGAATGGATGTTCATGTGCTTTTCTCTAGATTTAATGAAATTAATGCATGTTTATGAGTAGTGATATTGTCAATCTAGTGATGATCAAAACATAGTACTTAATTGAATACTTTTATAATTTATTTGATGCTTCACACTTGTTTCTAGGTGGATTGTACCACACATTTAGTTTAATTTGCATGTCTCTAGCCTAGATGCAGTGTAAGTGCTTTAATTTCTTAGATAGCTGGACAATCTATTCTTGTTTCTTGATGTTCCATACTTATGAATGCAAATAGTACATTTCTTTCGATTATTGTGTGTGTTTTAATTGTGGTTTAATTGAATGGGTTATAGTCTCATTTGATAGGTTGTGCTATTTACTAGATTGACTAGACAATCTATACTTATTTGCCTTCTATTCTTAGTTTTCAATTAGAGACACACACACACACACATTTTACAACTTAAATGTCCCCATTAATTTACAATTGCTAGTGTTTGGTGAAGTGAAGCTTAATGGTGAACTTTAAGCCCCAAGTCCTCTCTCTCATTTATTTTCTCTATAATCTCTAGATTGATAGTTGTATTATTTTTAATTGGACTTAGTTTAATTAAATCAAACCCCTCTTTTGATCATTCGACCTACTAATCCAACAATTGATTCCGAAGCACGACTCCTTTCCCTTGGGACGATCCCTACTCACTCTTGCTATATTTTAGTTAGTAGTGATAGCGGCATTCTATAAATTCAAACTTGGCCACACTACACACACTTCATTGCATGCTTTGGTTCATGACACACCACCAAGTTGGCCTCCTCAATTGGGTCTATGCTAGAACTCTACAAGATCGGGGGATTAGTTCCTCAATGACACAAATAGAGGGCTTTCGGATTCGGCGACGATGTTGCGATCACGGTGAGTGTGAATTCAAAAGATGTGGAGGCATATATTGAATCGTTTAGGAATGCTAAAGGGGTTAGTTCGGGATGTTCATTCAGTGCCTGATTCGTCGATGTTGGAGACGACATCGTCGTTCGGGTCAACTTCGTCCTCGCCGTCGCTCACGAACTTGCCACCGATTCAGGTTTACGTGGAGGATCACAGGGTAGCGATTATGTGCGGAATTGAGGAACAGTTCTCGCAGATGAATGTTAGGGCTGTTATGCAGAAGCAAGATGATGGAGGGTTTGTGGTTACATCTTCACCATCTACTGTTTTGACTATTGTTCAGGTGACAACGACAGTGTTTTGTAGATGTGGGTGGTGGTGATTGGTAGGTGTAATAATGAGGGGTATAATGGTCATTTAAGTAACCTGATATTTTGGAATAAATGGAATTAAAAAATTGGGTAAAGTTGTCTTTTCTCCTACTTTTAACAGAGACTTTAACAGAAAAATATAAATGGACCTATGTGATAGTTATTTTTGAAAGATATTTGAGAGTAAAAATTGGTCAAACCTAGGGGGGTATTAGTGAATTTATTCCAAAAAAGTACTTCAAATACAACCTCACCAAGCACTATTTTAGTGTGTGTGTGTGTGTACATATATATTTGTTGTTGTTGTCAATTACAGTAAAACTTCTACGCTATTCAAAATTACTGAATCTCAATTATTCAACTTAATTTAATTTAAGAAAATAGTTGATGAATTTTCTTTTTTACAAATTATGCTAATAAAATGCATATTTCAGCATTGTTAACTATCTCTTACTTTTCCTTCTCTTTCTAACCTCTTTTTTTAAGAAGTTTTTGAGTGAATATTTTTTTGAGTGAAAGTTTCTTTGTACTATTGTTTTATTATATTTTGGGCAAATTATATTGACTTGCCTTGAAGTCTGCACAAATTATACTTGAATAGACCATTCAACTTTTATTATTTTGAACTCCCTTGAAATTTGGCACGTGTGCTCAACAATACCTCTGGTGTTTATTTTCGGCCATACCTGTTGACCAATTTTATAAAATAACAATTTTACCATTCCATTGTATAAATGTAATAAAATATATTATTATAATATAAAGGTATTATTGACTTTTCAATGTGAATATCACTTTTTGATTGCCTGCAAATTGGTTTAGTCTTTAACGAGGTCAAATTAACAAACACTATAATTGTGTATAATTTGTCCAAACGTGGGGAATATCGGTGTAATTTTACCCTTGTATTTTTGCCCTTGACTGAACCTTTGGATCATTTGGACCTAGCGGTCCAAGTCGGGTTCACCGGGCTTAACTCGAGTCGGGTTCCAATATACCGCCTCCAGTTA